CTCCTAACACAATGCCTAGCCCTGAGGAGTTTTGTTGAATAATAACTGCTTTATTCTAACCATTATTGTTACTACATTTAATTTCCATAACACCTTCGTTCTGTGGTCGCACTGACCTCCTTGACCTAGGTCTTTTAACTTCTTTCCAACATCGAGTTACTTTTTACTTGCTCCTCATTGGGGATTGTTCTTTCACATGGAGTTTAAACCGTGTTATAAAAATTGGCTCAGGTCTCTTATTCCCTACTCTCTTTTCTAATAATAGGCATTTTTAAATGCAAGTTCATTCATCTTTTTACTGCAAACCTCTTCGTTGTCCCTAGCACATCGCTGCTCTATGTGTTTGTCGAATTGAATGAACAGGTCATTTATTATGTCCTATCATCACCATGTGATAAGTCTTTTGTGCATCACTGCTGATGCCACTGATGGTATTACCTTGATTATGATATATGTAAAGACAATCTCGTCTTTACACATACCATGTGCATCTGTCATTTAATACTGGCACTCTCTCAATCTTCTCTGATGTGAATATACCTTGCTACTCCTACTCTTACCCCCAGCCTCTTGTTTTCTGTAAAGCTTTCCACTCCGTATAGAGGGCATCAGTTTTTATCTTTTGAACTTTGTCTTGCCAGTGCTATATTGTAGACTGTTATTCCTGCCATTCCTGCCATAGGACTTTATGAAAAGACTTCTCTACTTTCACTTAAACTTTAATTTTCCACATCACTTTAAGGTATACATTTTGCTCTTCCCCACCACCATTAATACATTACCATTTGACACTCATTAGGCTGTCAATCTGTAAAACTCTTGAGGAAAAAAGAAAGACCTTATTTTAAATAGGCCTGATACTTTGCTAAAGAGGTTGCTGCACTGTCTACAATTCTATTCTTGTCAAGAATCAGTTTTGAAATTTCAAAGAGAAGAAATGAAATTTAGAAGTGCTACTAAACCATAAAATAATAAAAGATAAAATAAGTAAAAAGAAGGAGAAGATAATAAAATCCAAAGACATTGCCAAATAGAAGTCACTACAGATTTCTAGGGAAGGTTATTTCAAAATTACCCAATATGCAAAGTATTTCCTAAAAGGTCAGTCTGAGGTTTAAGGCATGAAATTCTCCTGAAGGGAACCTTTCAGTGAAGATCCCTGAAGATCAGGTCCCTGGGCCATTGTTAGTCAGAAAATGAAACACGTAAAATTTAATTTCTAGTGATAGAAATTGAGGTATAGATCCTAGGCAAGAGAGGAAAAAGTGACACTTCTTATGGTTACCCATTTCCACATAAATGTACAAGTGGTAGTGAGTGGTAGTCCTTCCATTTCTGATGAAATTTGAATGAGATAATACATCGAAAATGAAGCAGAGAGGTTTTATACTAGAAATCAGAACCCTTCCTGGGTTTTGAGGACTTGGACTATGTCACCAAGCAAAGCAGGATTCCTACCAACTCCCCTTGCCCCCTTCCAAAAAAAAAAAAAGAAAAAAGAAAAAAAAAACAAGGCTGGAGAGTTTTCCAAGATTCTGAGTCATTAGGAAGGGTTTCCAGGCTGCATATTGCAGGGCTGATTGTTCTCTGAAATAATCCAATCTGATTCCTGAAGCACCCCTACAGAATCTTATCAATTCCAGACTTTATATAAAGAGGCGAGCAGCAGCTGAACAGGGAAGCAAGTCGGCTCTGTCTGAAGATGGGGCTCTGACCAGTCCAGCTGCCTCCTAATTGCACATATGTCACAGCAAATGAAAAACTGAAGTCGACTTCTTTTGCTAAATGCAAGAAAAAAAATCGGTATTTTTTGCTTAAAACTGAGCAGTTTTTTAATGCAAAAGAACTGATACGTTTAAAGTTTTATATTGGAAATATCCTATATAGACAGCAATTGGGGTAGGGGTGAAGGAACGACATTTCTTAAGCTACTCTCATGACAAACACTTTGACATATGTCCCTTGACCTTTACCAACAACCCTTTCACGTTTGACACTTAACGTTTGCTATGCGATTAAAATTCAGCGTTAATTAATTTCAACACTATCTGTTAAGTTATATTTAGCTAAGAACACTCACTTTTGTCTTTTGTGAGTAGCACTGCAGTGTTATTACAAAGAGGTAGTCAGGAGGGCAACAGAGATACGAGAAGAGAAGAATGATTCAGTGTGCAGATAATTGTTTCAAGTGAAATTTAGCTCAGTATTTTTGTTCCTGTCCTCAGCAGAACTGAGATTTAGCACCTCCCGTTGGCATTTAGCCCCCACCTCCACACAGGAGGAAGCTGTGCTGGGTGGGTGCTGAGAACGAGCCACACCAGAATTAAATTATAGCACAGTTCTAACACTGGCAAGAATTGTTTTTCTGGCCAGCTCATAGGTACCAACCTGGTGATCCCAAAAGAGAGGCAAGGCATACTCTAGAAAGGATCTCCGTATGGTGTGGCATCACTCTTGGTGAGGGAGGTTGACATAATTATTTAAACAGCATTGCCCAAAAAGTAGTTACCATTCCTAAAGAAAGACAGTGTAAACCAGAAAATGTAGCTGTAGCAGAATTGTAGTTCTAGACTTAAAAAAAAAAAACACATGTAAAATGGTCTTATTGATGCTTTTGTTCCATAATGTGACCCCTCCAAAAATCACTAGAAATGAATCAAACCCAAAGAATTTGAGCACTTTCCCTGAGTTTTCAAAGTGAGAAAACATTTTTATTAGTTTCTTTATTCCATGCTCTTTTGCTCTGTGATTAGGTTATGGTAAGAATATGGGTATTCAAATTTTGCTTTTGCTTGAAACGCACCATGCTGTAGAACCATTACAACCACCGCTCTGTGGAACCTTGGCATGAAATTGTGGTCTGTAAGTTTGCTGTCCTACTGAAATACTTCCATCCTTTAGATGTATGTTCAGGAGAGGAGGAGAAAGGCTCACAGTGCAGTACGTAGAGTAGGTCAAACACAGTTTAGGTGGAAGTTGCTCATATACAAGGAGACTTCAAAAAGTTCAGGAAAAGTGTGTATTATGGAAAGCTACAGATGGATTTAAACTTTTTTGCAACAAAAGTAAACATAATTTAATGCCATTATTCCCACAAAATTTATGAAGCCCCCTCAATATCTTACTGAGGATCAGGTCACAGATGTTCTGTTCTTTAAGACAGTAGCCCCCAGTGTGTTAAAAAACAAAAACAAAGAAACGTGGAGAATTTTGGTTGTGTATCACAGATTATTTATCTGGCAGTAATTGAACTTTTATGTCCAGAATCTGGTTCCATGCACTTAACTCATCCTCTACCTATAATTGAAGGGCAGTTGATCTCTGACAAATTCTTTCTTCCTGTCCACCTCCTGGGGAACATTTTAGCCTCCATTTTCCAGAAATTTAAGTAGCTCTGTTTCAGTACACAAGTGCTTGAGTATCAGGTCACATTTCTCTAGTCAGGCACAGGTAGAATGTCTCTGTACTAATAGTTAGTCAGGTTTACCACTCAAACAAGTCTATTTTATATTCTTTTTTTTAAAAGTTTATTTATTTATACTTGAGAAAGTGCATGAGAGAGAAAGGCAGGCACCGTCAAGAGGGTCTCATGCTGTGACCTCCTGTCCCCAGTCTTTCTTGGCCAGTCGGGATCACCAGCACGTGCTGGCCTGGCATACACAGGTCATCGTGTGAACTGAACCCCCCCAGGCTTCCATGTGACTTCCAGCCCTGGAGGTTTCTTGGTTCTTCCACATGAGAACCTAATCCGTCCTCTGGGAAGGTCTCTCTTGCTCTTTTTCTGTTGTTTCACCATCCAAAACAGCGGAGGCCTAGTTCTGAAATGGTCTTAGGATTTAGATCTTACTACTATTGATAACATTCCTGGTTTCAGACTTCCTGCTCAGGCCTCTGACCTGCCTTTTCTGGGTTCCTTGTAGCTGGCTCTGCTCACTTGCTGTCACAGGAGCCCCCCTCCAGAAGCCACTGGATACTCTCAGTCACTCTTTAACGTGGACTGAGTCCTCATACCCTCCACTGAATAGGTTCCAGAAGCACCCTGTACCATCCAGTGAACTCCTTTCCTGTAGGTCCAGGGCTTCCCATTCTGCCCTTTTGCAGTTGACCTTGACTACATCCTATCGTGAGGTAATGCAGGAAGAGGCAGAGCTTAAATTCTAGAAGAGTAGGGCCAGCAGGTGGCATAGTGGTTAACTTGTTGGACTCCTATATGGCTGACTGTGGTGTGACTCCTCGACCCTGTGGCTTGGAATTTATGCTTGGTGTGTGTGTGAACGTCCCAAGATCCTGATAGGAGAATGGAGGAAAAAGGAGTGTAGCACGCACATCTCCCCTGAGTGGTGATTTCTCACTTTCTGTCTCTCTCTGACTCTCTGGCAAATGCACATGTGGTAGGGCAAAAATATCTCAAAAGGAAAAAAAATACTAGAAGAGCATACATATAAGAAAAAAACATTTCATTGCTATGTTTAGAAGCAAATGAAAATTTTTAAAGAGAGATTTTTGCCCTAGGATATGTGCACTTGCCAGAGAGACAGAGAGACAAAAACTGAGAAATCACCACCCCCCGGGGGGGATGCCCATGCTACAATTCCTTCCCTTCCATTCTCCTCTTGGGAGCTGGGCACATGCACCTGACATGAGTTTTAAGTCGCCAAGTCTGAGACTCGAACTGTGGTCAACTATGTGGGAGTCCAGCAACATAACAATTACACCACCCTCTCATCCCACAAATAACATTTTTTAAAGTAGGAAGATTTCATAGAAATACAGCTTTTTAATCCTTGAGTCTTCTAGTTTTTTTTTTTTTTTTACTTTATTTGGTGTATTGTAACTTGAAACATTATTTTTTATCTTAGATATTTACTTTCAAATGAGAATTTTAAATGCCCCTCTGTTTTACAGAGTTTTTCTTCAGTATTGACTGAGTAAGTGACTGTCACTATATCTTGAGATTGAAGGTTTGTATCTTATTTTTCTTTCTGCTTTTACATTTTAAGGTATTACACAATGATCTCATTATGGAGATGAAGCATCCGACTGTGGGGAAGATATCAGTTCCAGGTTTGAAAAAATATTTTTTACCTTAAAATCTTCATTGACTGTCTCATATGCTGTCCACAATGGGTAGTTTAAGATCCTCCCAATGTTCTGCCAGGCACTATCCAACCTTGGGTATTATAACCTTGGGTAAATGGGGAGCCCTAGGACCATACTCACAAGAAAGTGGACTGAAGCTATGAAATGTTGTCCTAGCTGTACGGAATGTCCTCAGTGACAAAAAATGCTCATATTTTATAATTCCATTTTGTATAATCATGTTTTCACAAAAGTCCATTATGTACTTATCAACAGATAGCTTATGATAGATGTGGAAAATATTAAGAAATACAGTATGGTTCACGTGGGAATGAGAAAGACGCCAGGCAAGATACAAGTAGTGTCCCTGAAGGCTCAGGCTAGAGCTGTGGTTTAGGGCATGGATCCTGGTTTGCAGGTCAAGAAGCTAAACCTGTTCAGCAAGCACATGCATACGCTTGACATGTCTTTCAAGTCACCAGGGCTGGGGTTTGAACAACAGTTGGCTGTGTGGGACCTAGCTCCCTTACCTGCTAGGCTATGGGGGGATGGCCCCAGAATATTTACTTCTACAGGTATCTGATCTCATTATTACTGCTATTGTTAATTTAATTTTAACTCTAATTCTCAGCATTGGGCGAGCATGATAATAATCTACAATAGACCAGCTTATGAACACTGGGATGCAAAAATACAAGAGTGATGAATGAAGCAAATTGAAAGGGAAAATTCTGATGTATAGGGGTTAAAGGAACATTCTGCATGCATTGAGAAAGTTAGGAAAACAAGTGTAAGCCTATCAGAGACTGAAATCACACATGATAGAGAAAAGCTATATAGTATAGAAAGGTATTGGAAAAAAAGTCAGTAAAAGCTAAGAAGATTGATCATGGACAGCAGGTGGCATGGGGGTCAAGGTGCTGAACTCCCTCATTGTTACTATGGTTCGAGTCCTGGACCTTGCAGCTTGAAAATTACACTCCTGTACGTGTGTGCTAAAAATCCCGAGAGGAGATTGAAGGAAAAAGGATTGCTGGGTGGCCATACCTCTTGGGGAAGACAATTTCTCATTTTCCCTTTCTCTGTCTCTCTCTGGCAAGTGTATACTCTCTATGAAAAAAAATCTAAAAACAATAAATTAAATTAAAAAAGAAGATTGCTGGGACCAGCAGTTAGCGTAATGGCTATGTCGCTGGATTCCCACGTAGTCGACGGCGGTTTGAGTTCCGGACCTGGTGGCTTAAACTCACGCCGGGCCTGTGTGCGTGCGTGCCCAAGATCCCAAGAGGAGAATGGAGGAGAAGGGATTGCGGCGTGACCACCCCCCTGGGGAGTGATTTCTCGCTTTCTGTCTCTCTGTCTCTGTCTATCTGGCGAGCCCACGCACCCTATAGCAAAAACCTCTCAAAAAAAAAAAAAAGAGAAAAAAAAAAAGAAGATTGCTAAATTTATCATTAGTCATTTATTCATGAATATTATTGAGCAAATACTATGTGCCCTGCACTGATTTGGGCCCTGGGAATATAAAATAAATCACACAATTTGACCCCTGACCACATGGAGTTTATAGGTAATAGAAAGTCAGATAAACAATCAATAAATGTTTATATTACTGTACATCATAAGTACAAAGAAAGGAAAGAACAAAGAGCACCCTGTCATGAAGAATGATGGACAGGTGGGGCCTCCTGTTTAAGTGATCAGACAGAGCCACCCTGAGAAGCTGATATAAGCTAGGATTGAAGGGTAAAAGAAAGTTGGCACTTAATAAAGAGGGGAAAGTGCATTCGAGAATGGGGAACATTGTGTATGCTAATTTGTAAAAGAGTGGAATGTATTATAAGCCTATATGAAAGGTGGGGAGATAGAGCAAACAGTGAGACTGAGAAGATAGCCTTGGACCCATCTAAAGTTGGGTTTACTATAATATTAAGCAGAGGAATAAAATGACACAATTTGTAACTTAAAGCAGGGAGTTAACTTAGAAATTTTAGGAGATGGTGTCTTAAATTAGGGTTATGGAAATCAAGAGAGAGAGAGAGGGTGGTCCCACAAGAAATGTGATCGTAGTGCATCCAGTCTGAGAAACGTTTGAAACACATTTTTTCCAGTGATTTTTAATTTTTTTCCATTCATGATAGAGCACAGGCATACACATGAGACAGAGAGCAAGAGAGAGTATGAGAGAGGAACAGGTGCACAGGAGGTGTCGGTCATTGCTGCAGACCCTCCTCCTGGTCTTCCAGCCTGCCAGGATCCTGAGCATGCACACACAATGTCCAGTGTGGTTTCATGCCTACCAGGCCATGGACTCAAATTGTTCTCAGCATATGGCTTCCAGCTCTGAAACCTGGTATGTTACAGACTTTGCCATAGAGGCTGGGCCTGGTTTTCAGTTTTGAACAGTTGAATTGATTTTCCAAATCAAATCCCAATATCTAAGCAGATCAAAGCAGTTTTGCTGATTGATAAGTTAGCACTCTAACTCTTTAGCTTTCTATCTCTGCCCCTAACCATGCTACAGTTGTCCAAAAATTTCTCCTTGGAACTATGGGACCTAAAGGACCCTTCAAGAACTAGTGGTTTGGGGGCAGCAAGTGGCATTGTAGTCAAGAGGTTTGGATTTCCACTTGGCCACCCAAGTTTGAGTTCTGGACCCAGCAGCTTAAAAATCATGTCAGGCATGTGTGCATGCATGCCTAGAATCCTGAGAGGAGAATGGAAGAGAATTGTGGCATGTTCTACCCCCTGGGGAGTGATTTCTCTCTCTCTCTCCAGCAAGCATACCTGCCCTATGGTGAAATCAAAAACAAAAACCAAAACCCAGTGATTAACTTTATTCCATAAGTTTACAGATGAGGTCATACGTTATTGGTATTCCCAGCACATCAGAGGAAGGGGTAAGCATGTGAAAGTCAATATAATTGTTAGTGTGACAGTGTGGAAAGAAAGTCAGTCAGTGGCCAACCTAGAATAAACTCACTGGATGCAGCATTCTCTCAACTGATTAGGTGTGGATTCACTGACTTACATGATGAGTGAATGAAAAACCAGTTCAGGAAGAGATTTTTTTTTTTTTTCAGATTCCTAGAAAGGAAGAATAATCTTTTTGCTCACTTTAATTTATAAATGTATCAGGTAGCTATTGTCACAATATGCTGTGTAACAATTAACCACAAAGTCTCAGTGGCATTCAAAATAAGCGTTTTTTAAATTCTACAAAAGTGAGTCTGTTGGGCGATGACCCGGATGGGTTGGCCTCTGCCGGCTATATTTGCTTCCAGTTTTAGGTCTGGCTGGGCTCGACTCCTCTTTGTAGGTGGGACTCAGGGCTGCTTCATGTATTATTTCCTGCTCTTCTCATGGCAGTGGCTAAAGAGCAGGTGGGCACACAGTAACCTCAATACAATTTAAGATGTTGGTATAGAATTAGCAAACACTTCTGGCTACATTCCATTGGTCAAAGCCTGTTTTCAATCAACAGGGTGGGCAAATACATAAACTCTTTTTAAGAAAAACTTCAAAGTTACATGGTAAAGGGTATGGGCATCAGGAAGAGTAGATTATTGAGGCTTCAAATTCTATTTACCACAATAAAATTCTCAGATCTCCAACAATCGTTATTTTTTCTCCTCTTTGGAAAATTCTGTTTTCTGTTTCTCTGCTTTCCATAGGAGTCAGACATCCTTTTGTTATGGTTAGTTTATTGACTTACCTTATATTCTTTCCATAGAATTACCAATATGAGAATTCTCAGATGTAAGGTGAAATGGATTGTCTAGGTTATTTTTAAAATTAGAATCTGAGTGTCTCCTGATGGAAGCACATCTGGATTTCTCATGAAAGGTATATGACAATTCTGCTTAGAGATGCCAGATAGGAAGATGATATTGTACTTTCTAACTCAGTGTATCCCAATAAGAGGCCATTTAGATAGGACAGGAGATATTGAATTAAAGGAAATTTATCAGTAATTAAATTTAAAAGTCCTCTGTGGATTACATCTTTTATTTATTTTATTTACCTGTGCTAGTTCTGCATTTCTTTGTGAGGAATGTCCCCAGTAGAGACCTTATAAATGCTGTAGATATAATTTAGGTTCTCCCACAATGGCTCAGTAAGGCATGTCTGCCAAACAGGAAATGGGGATAGATTTAAAGGGGACTCTATGCTATATTGGTTTTGGTTATCTGGTAAAGACACATTTTGAAGATACTAAATGTAGTTCTAAAGAATTACACATATATATCTGTGTCTTCACCTTTACAGTAAAAGTCCCTCTTTATTATATAAATTTAATTTGTCAGAGGGTGTGTGCACTTGCTGGAGAAAGACAGGGAGAGCGAGGAAAGAGAAAACATTCCCTACAAGGAGCATAGTCACCACAATCTTCTCTCCCCCACTTCACTCTATCCTTGGGATTTGGGGCATGAAGATGACCAACATGATTTTCCAAACCATTGGTCCTGGACTTGAACTATATAGTTGCCATGTGGGATCCACCTATAAGCTGGTCTGAAAATTCTTTTGTTTTATAAAGCAAGATTTTTGCTATAGGGTGCATGAGCTTTCTGGAGAGGCAGAGAGAGACAGAGAGAATAACTACCCAGGTGGGATGGCTATACCACATTCCCTTCTCCTTCATTCTTCTCTTGGGATCATGGGCATGTGCACATATGTGCCTGGCATGAGTTTTAAGTCACCGGATCTAGGACTTGGACCGCAGTCTACTACGTGTGAGTCCAGCAACATAACCATTATACCATCTGCTGATCCCAAAAACTCCTTTAAAAAGAAAAAGAATTATTTTATTTAATTAATTAATTAATTAATTTATTTATTTATTATAGTTTGACCAGAAAGGGACAGAGAAAGAGAGAAAGAGAGAAAGTGAGAAAGCAAGCCACCAGGTCTAGGACTTGAACCATGGTTGGCCATGTGGGAGTCTATCGCCCTTAATCACCATGCTACCTGCCAGCTCCACC